AGCAGGAAGCTGGAGGTGTGTGTTTGGAGGGACTGTACTGAGGCGATGCACACAGTTACCAGGTAGTTTACATAGATGGGGATGGCAGGAACTAAAACCCAGTCCTGAGTGTCAAGGATACAAATCTCTCCCAAGGGAGTCCAAAGAAAGCTTCCGTAGACTTGTGGGTAGTTAGGGCTTTTAGCAGTAGGGTGCTCTCTGTTGCTTCTGATCAGATCTCCTAAGACCTTTCAACTGGGAAGCTTAATTGCTGGAAATATTTAGGAGCTCCCATCCTCCTGATCACCTTGGAAACCTGCTCTCCTTGGCAGAGCCATGGCCAGCCAAGGCTGTATGTAGCTGTGCTGCACACCCCATATTCCTGTACGTGGGGCTAGTGTGGGTGAAGAGGGCTGCAGCCCAGTCAGCACCGGGAACCAACTCACCACATCACAGCTGGGTTAAATGACTTGCAGCCTGAAAGCTTCTGCCATGGCTCAGGGCTGTGTAAGTGCAGGAGAAGATATGGGAGAGGCAGTAAAAATATGAAAGAAATCTTACCAAGAACAAGTGCCGAGGGTGCCTGTTTTTGCCAGAGACTTTCATCAGCGTTCCCTCTTTAACAAAGATCTGAAAGAGAAAACAGCAGATTGTAATCCTGAGACTTCTCATTCTGAATCTTATTGAGAAAAGAGAGTATTCCTCCTGCAGAAAGAGCCACTCTGCTTTCAGCGGCATAGGAGGAAATAGATACCCCAACACTTGCTTCTGTCCTTGCTCCTTATTCTCTGGCTTAGTCTTTGCCTGCGTTGGCCCTGCTGCTCTTCATGGCTTGCATTTCTATCAGTACGGAGTGGGTTGGAAACCCCTTGCTCCTCAGCCCACTGCTTCTGCTCTGTGGGCTGTGGTCAGCGGTGGCTGTCACAGACTGCAAAGCTAACAAGATGAGAGCTCTTGTCTTTAAATTAACTCTACAATAGAGAGACCAAAAAGAAAAGCTGAAACCACAGGTTTCAGCACACTACATCCACCTAACTACGCCTGCATACATAATCTGTACATGTTTACAAACACAGTACTTTGTCGATCCATATTGTTACTACGTATCTGGACAGGACTATGTATGGAAGCAGCTAAACTGGAACTTGATTGCAGTAACATTTGATAAGGTCTAGAATAACTGAACTACATCAGTGCATTAACAGTCATTTATAATCAAAGAGACCAATCCCACAAATTCTTGGCTTTGCAGAATTTGTTAAAGCATTACTTGGGAAGGGCAAGTGAGAGTACTGATGTGAGAGAAAAAACAGAGGTTGACTGAGGATTCTTATGCTACAAGTATGCATGCCTTGAAAATGGCTTCATTAATTTTGCTAAAGATACTGGTGGACTGAAGGGAAATTTAGAGTTGCAGATCTCAAGAAAGAAATCTTTTGAAGTGTAGAGGAAGGTTGGGGCTGAGGAAACCAGACAGGTTTGAAAGCCAGGAGAAATTTGCATTTGATGTGTTCAGCAAGACAGAGCTATACTCTCTCCCACATTTCTGTTCATGTACTGCTTAAAAATGGTGTCTTGCAGTAAAAGCATCAGTGGGGGAAGGCAAGAATAAACATTTGAAAACAAATAATTTCCCCTGATTTAAGGCTCTTACTCAGCCAAATAAAACTCCGAGCCTTTCCAGGCTGCATGCAAATACTGCTGGTGTCGCAACCTTTCAGCAGGAGTATACAGAGAGGAAAACAGCAGCTCCATCAAAGCACACTACACATGGCTGAGGACAGCTGGCGTGAAGTCAAATGGCTGCTCTGTGTAAAAGCAGGGGCAATGCACAGAGGCAGTGCACATCTTTCCAAGCCCGTGGCTCCGGGCACATCTCAGCGCACTGCAGTGGTGGCTTTGTACACAGACCAGCGCTCTAACTCTTATCACAGTAGCTCAGTCAACAACACCTGTAGAGGTCTGAAATCCGGCCATCCACGCAGTCAGAGATGTAGCTGGCCGGAAACAGTGCCCTTATCAGCGTCGGTCTGCCTGCAGCACTCACCCTTCCTGGCTGGAGGAGGCCACTCTGCCCTCTCACGCTGTGCTCAATGTGTACCAGCTTCTGCAAATTTTCCTGGGGGAGAGAAACAGCGTTTAGGAGACCGCATGGTGACCGTTCTTTCAACAAGCAGGCAAGCCTTCCCTCACCCCTCCTCACCATTTTATTTCTCTAAAAGTGCTATTGCAGAACTAGGTTTCAGAGAGAAATGATCTCAGGGATTTTACGCCCAGAAAGTCTTCTTCCAGCCTTACAGGTTTTATAAAACCTCATCACCTGCATTCACATCTGCTGTGGCCTTCTACAGTCCTGTTACCTCTGATACCTCAGTTTATCTTTGAAAGGGCCTGCTAACTGCATACAGAAAGTACGGTATCTCCCCCAAAGGCCTGTGCGTTAGTGGCATGACACCAATAATCCTAAGCATGCTTTGATACTGTAAGACGGTTGTTTGGATTATCTGAAGGTTTCTATCCTGCGATAACAGATTAATGGCTTTGCAAGAAGGGATTTAGAAGGTTAATGAAGCTGCATCTCTCTTTTGATGCTTTGCAAAACTCAGGAAGTTTATTATTGAACTCTGATGCTATTAACTGCCTACCTGGCCTTAAAGCACAGTCAGTGGGCACTGGCATGTGGCATGAACTTATCTATCTATGAAGATCAATTTAGCTAAGCTTGTGCTCTCATAAAAAGATGGTATTGGATGAATATACAAAGGAGGAAGAAGGGATGTCTGTACTTTAGCAGTATTTCTAGAGTCTTTTCAAATCTTCCATTTAGCAGGTGAGGCTGCCAAAACCAAGACTTGTACATAGGATTCAGCTGTGGTTTTATCTGGTCAGAACAATAGAATAGGCTGCATAGCAGCTATGCGTCATCACTGCAATATGTCTGAAAATTAGGAGTCTCTTGTCCAGGTTAGCCACTGTATCCTAAATCCTCAGTTACACACTCAGATAAACTACAGACTAAAGACCGTATTTGATATACACCTTTATGACCTGGCAGCTTCTGACTGCAGTTTTCTGCTGTGACAGATAATGGTCTGTTTTCCTGTGCTCCACTGACTGGCATTAAGATACCCCTGGGCTTAGTTAAACTCGATTAGATCATACAGTGTATCTGCCTGATACAAATTAGTGCTGTCCACAGAATCAGCTAATTAAGAAAGCTATCACAGATACCAGAAGGAGCATATCCATGTAACATGATGGTCTGTCAAGGCTAATTTACTCTGGATTTCAGCTAACACAATTAATGTACCTATCTTGGCTTGCTTTTTGAGATAAGCCTGAAATAACCTCCATATGTTACTGCCCTGGTGAAATATTACACTTGTTTAGCATGATGCTAAGTTTAGTTCTTAATCCCTAACCGCATATCAAACATACGGAAACACCTACAGCCTGGACCAGCACAGGGCTGCATTGTGACCATGCAATATAACTGGCAACAGACACATTTTCAAGAATTTCAGCTGTCAGATATCTCTTTTGCAATGCAGGAAGTAACAAATGGAATTTTTCAGGTCATTTCTAAAATACCATAGGCCAGCGAAATGGAAACAGAACGTATAGACTAATAGCACAGGAAATACCAGGGATCATGGGACAGCTGACATTTGCAAAAGACATTTGCAAAGGACTTTCCCATCACTAAAGGGTATTTTAGCCCTCGCAAAACTTGTCAAATTGACAGCTTCCACACTGGAAACCTGTTCTTCATCCGCAGAAAAGGCAGTGCCCTCCTGCGCACACACTCGTGGCCAATGCTAGCACTCATCACTGAGGTTTCTACAAGAGCAAGAGGAGCGGTTGCTGCCGCTCAGATACGCCTCAGCTTTTCTTAGGCTGCTGGCGGAGGCGCCTGTTGTAATGCTGACGTGCGCAGAACGGACACGTGTTCACCAGGAAACGGACAGAGAGGTATCAACTCGTTTCCTGCAGGAAGTCAAACAGCCATCACATGTGAAGGCCAGGGATTTATCTGGGAATGTGGGCAGCTGAGGGGGGTACAACTTCTTTGCAGGTCCCCTGAAATTCCCTGTTTGTGTTGTTTTCTTCATTCACCTGAAAACTATCATCATTCTCCTTCCAAATATCCCTCACGAGCTGTGATTAAAAAATGAAAACAAAGCTCCACCCAACCAGTACTGCAGATGTGGGTGGCAGAAATCCTTCTCTGGCCATTTTGAGGCCATTTTCTCTGGCCCATAGAAAACCTGCTAGAGTCTTATTATCATAAAACAAAAAAGCTAATAATGAATCTTTGATATTCAGCAGAAAATGTAGATGATAATTCAATGCTCCTGTCAGATAGTGTAGTTTGATGAGTTGGTAAGTGGCAGCAGAAATCTTCCTCCTTCCATGTACATGCCAAGTCTAAATTACTGCTTAGAACTTCACCCAGGTACATGACAAGTTATTAACGCTCTAACTTGAGTGGCATTGTTCTGTTTGTTCTGTAATTAGAGTAATGTCTTAAATTCTTTGCATTGTTTTTAAATCTGAGAGACAGAAAACTGCTGGTTGTGGCTTTTGTGGATGGGATATTAATTCAGGAAAAAACCTCTGATGTAGCAGAATGTCAAACTTTGATTCTCATGAACCTGTGCCTTCACAAGACCCACAGCATTCACACAGATGGGAAAGACGGAAATTTTGTTTCATCTCTTTCAGGCCACAGTTTTAAAAAAGAGCAGATGTGCTCTGATGATATGATAAAAAATGAAGTGTAAAAATCTATGCAGAAGTTGCAATGAAATTGTTCCAAAACAGACATTATTAATAGCAATTATAATACAGTCTGTGACATCTGAAAAACTCAAGACAATATGGTGATGTTCTTCAAATTAAAGCATGGCTTAGCAGAGATAAACCACTGCATGGTAATGCGACACAGCAAATTCCATTTTGGTCACGTATGTATACTTCTAACTTGAGAAAAGTATTCATACAAATCTCCCCTAAATCTGAGTGAGTTGTAAGGAAGCAGAGGTGCCAGAAAATGAGGTATGACCTTGATCTGTCAGGAACTGAGCTCTTACAGTTCCCAACCTCTAATACAGGTGTCCCTAAAGCTCTGAGATTACTGTGGAAGCTTTTCCTGAGATCTCAGTTTTCTGATGAAATATTTCTTATTTTGGTACAAAGAAAGCTTTAATAATGGCAAAGTATGATTATAATTCTTTGCCTGAGGAGAAAGAAAAATCAGAATTAAACCTGTTGAAAACTTTGCTGAGTAAGTCTGTAGTTTCAGAGTCATTCTGTAGAGGGGCCAGATTACATTTCTTTTTTTGATAAAACTCTGGGCTTGTTAGACCACGTCCTTCCTGCGGTCTTCATCTGTTCTTCTGTCTTGGCAACAGAATAGTGTTTATGTCGTACTTAACTCCTAGTCATTGCTGTCAATGCTGAACATCAGTCAGAACCGGTCTGTATGGACACCACTGTTTCCATGCGTCGCTTTTCTGTTGTTCTTTCTCTCTCCTCTCCTCCTCCTTCACCATTATGTTTAGCTGTAATGCAACTACCATTTAATCTACAAAGACTTCCCTCCCACATTATGTCCACATCCTATCTACTACAAGGGCTGATGACAAAATAGTTTGTGCTGATACATAAGGCATCTTTAAATAAAGCTGAGAGTAAGCGACCAAGGAGATCAGCATAGCTGACAGTTTACACGCTGTCTGCTGGCTGAAGCAGAGTGCTGTCTTTGACAGGACTTGTGTGATGCCTTCAACATTTCATAGCTAAAACCATCCCAGGTTAGAAACAGAGCCACGAAAATTCTCGTCTCTCCCTTCACTGTTCCACATACCATTTCAGCTACCCCAGGAGGGAAAAAACTTTGTGCAGCTTGCGACGGTGACTTACATCTTGCACAGCTGTGCTAAAGGGCATAGACCTTCTGCATAGACCAGTAACTCTCCTTCCCTGGAGACATTCAAAACCCGCCTGGATGCGTCCCCGTGTGACCTAGTTTAGGTGATCCTGCTCTGGCAGGGGGGTTGGACTGGATGAGCTTTCAAGGTCCCTTCCAACTCCTGAGATTCTGTGTGATTCTGTGTGTGACCTACTCCGTATCTGAAACACTGTAAACCAGGTCTGTATAAACCCTTGAGTCCCACCCTGGAGGAGGCTTCAGAATTCAGCAGAGAAATTTATTCACTTCAGCAGATGTGCAGAAAAGACACTATCGATCAGGAGAGCGTGTGTCATGGTAGGACTCACCGCTTGGAGCATGCTGTCGTTGGCTCGGTCCGTGATTTCAGAAACAATGAATAAGGCAGCTGAGGGATGAAGCAAAAAAAACCACCATAAACCACATAAGAGAGTAGCAAAATAACCCAAATCCCTTCTGTTTGCAAGGGCATCTTTAAAAAAAAGCAAACATCCCCAGCAGTGTGGCATGGCAGTCTAAGGTGATCTGTGTCCCCTTAGTGCTGAGGGAAAGGACAGCTCATCCCTTGCTGACAGAGGTGTCCATGAAGTGGTGACATGAATTAACATCCGGGTTCTCCGCTGGCAAATAACCTGGGCCAGGCCATGTTTGCTGGCCCTGACAGCGGTGGCATAGCACGGCTCAGGTCCTTATCTCAGACCTCTTCCCCTGTGGAACGGGGCATCCTGTCCATTTGGGGGTGCATCTGGGAGCATGCGAGACCTCGCTGGCCAAAAATGTGACGAGCGTGTGGCAGCCACAAACAAGAGGGGCAGCTGTGGCCACAGGGCTTGAGCATCTGCCCTGGCCTTGTCTAAGTTACTGGTACAGCTGCAGTCCCACGGTCAGTGACGGGTCCTAAATCTTGCCCGAGACTCTGCCCTTGGTCAGAACAGACCGACCTTCAGTCAGTCACAGACCTCATCGCTATGAGTTGGTTTGAATTTACACTCAGTGTAACACAGAGGTAAACTGGTGCCATTAACACCATGCTATTACTGCTTGCTCCAGCCTGGAAGCTACTCCCACTGAGGCCACAGCTAAACCTTGCTTTGACTTCAGTGGAAGTAAGAGACTTCTGCTTTATCCATCTTATGTGTTGGAAAGGATGGTGTTAGCAGCTGAACATCTGGATTTGTTCTTGATTGAGCAGAACTGATTTTTATGCAATGTATTTGAAGTTTACTTGGGAATCCAGAATCCAGATACACAATTCAATCCTCACGGGTTTCTCCAGAGTTGGCAGAGCACAGCAGGGTGTACACAAACGAGCAGGTTGAACCATCCCAATTGACTTTACAGTGACCAGGGCAAATGAGGACAGGGCCAAAGAGGACTAGGATTTCCCTGATGACTCGGCAGAACTGCAGTAGCTGCCCTACACTTGTATAATGATGATAATTTCTTCTTCTGTCAATTCATTGTGTCAAAATTGTAGGAAGCCCACGTGCTTCAGTGAAACAAAGACAGAGTTCTTGCCCTAAATAATTTGTATAAATTAGAAATCAGTTCTTCTAGATCTTACATCTAACCTATTAACACAAAATCTGAAAAATAGTCCTCCTCTATATACTACCAGTATAGAACCTGTACCTCTTTAGAAGCAGAATTAGTAAAGTAGAATTTTTGTTCTAGCCATTTCATTTTACCTTGTGTAGCTTCATACTCTGTAGAATCAGGGCAAAGATTATTCAAGTAATCTGTAGAAAATAATAAACAAACACAGACATCCATCAGTCAGAATACAGACCCACATAATTTGCAGTGTTATTAGCTAAAACATAAAATCCAAATTACAGAATCCTGGGATGGTTTGGGTGGGAAGGGACCTCAAAGCCCCCCCAGTCCAACACCCCATGTGCAGGGACACCTCCACCAGCCCAGGCTGCTCAAAGCCCTGTCCAACCTGGCCTTGGGCACTGCCAGGGACAGGGTGTCCACAGCAATGTCCCGTATCACTTTATTCTCAAAGTGTATATAGCCTCTTTCCAAAGAAAAACTCATCTTTGCATTCTACTTTGAGAATCAATGCAAGAGCATTGATACAGATTTGACTTAACACGTTAACTTGGCAGGTATAAACAAATCAACAGAGAGTGACAAAAACATTTCCTTGTTTCTCAGCCAAGAGAATTGCTGAGTAGCACCACTTTATAAATAATTATTGTTCTAATTAATTCTATTTTTCTATCTGAATGAATGGTGTTGGCTGTAATGACTGATTTTCTATATTTAGATTAAATTAATTATATGCATTTTGTGGAGACAGGAAGGAGACTGGTTCTATGCAGAGTTCAGTGATTACTACTGAACTCAATCACATTCTGAAAGTAGGTTCTGTAAAATACACACAATAGGACTTACATTTACAGGAATTATATTTGCATTATATACAAACCTGTAACCTGACAGTTTTGTTTGGACTGCTTGCCTTGGATCATCTGTCTGTTCCTTCTCTGGGTCTTTATGCTTTTAATGACTGTAGTATATGAGTGCCACCATTGTAAAAGTCTAATCCATTAATGCTTCATTCTTGTCTTTTTGATGAATCCAGGCTCCTAAATTACGCATCCAAGAACACGACCTCTGTGCTGAGAACAGTGCTGAGCATGGATATCCGTTCCCTTGGATGTCCTGTCCATATACACTTCTCTTTCTAGGGCTGTGCCCTCCCTGGTGTCCCAAAATCTACCCGGCTTTTACATGCATTCAGGAAAGCATCTGCCTGTACCCAGCCAGGCAGGAAGGAGTTGTGTGGTAATGCTATGTGGTAAAGGCAATCTTTAGCATTCCTCCTCACAGCTGCATGCTCTGTCCTTGGCTGTGGATATTTAACTGAGTGAGCAACTCCTTTTGGCTGTAGTACAGTAATTGGCAACCAATATCTGCACAAAATACCCTTCCTTATCTGGTAGAAACAGCCAGTTATGAACACACAAGTACACCTCTGTATTTTAATGGTTTTTTACGGTGTTTAGAGAATCTGAAGGGCTGCACTGTTCCAGACCCACTCTGTCCTAGCAGGCAAAGAGAGGCTTGGTTTCTGGAGGTGAAGAATGGAAGCAGTAAACCTATTTTCTGTTATATCCAGCAGACCTTATCTCACTGTACACCAAAGCTTTCTTTTTCCCACTTAGTGCCAGTACCTGGGACAAGGAGGATCTCAAGGATCTCATCAGGCACAGATGGAAGCCAATCACCGGAGCTGCACTGAAACCCTTCCAGCTCTCTCACAAAACTTCATGCAAACATGTTTCATGCTTGCAATTTACCTTATGGACCACAGAAAGGTGCAGAAAAAATGGAGCATAGTGGGGATATTTCTGATAGGGACATCCTAAGTCCTTTTTCTTAGATGCAGTATTTGTGTGCATGTACTAAAACCACAGTGAGGATCATGTGAGACCACTAAGTACTGCAACCCGCAAGTCTGAAAAGTTGCCCTTAATGTAGACAGACATGGAGAGGGAAGCAAGTCAGAGAGAAAAACACTCCTGCTGTTGGCATCCTGTGTTCCTTTGTATTGCTCGTACTGAAAAAGCAAACCCAGCTGTGAATATTAAGTTGCATCCTTGGTCAAAGTGTCTGGAGCAAGATGAAACTGCTGCTACTCTGTGCTGTGAATAAAAATTTGGTATGGTCACTATGTTCTGCTGCATTTATAGGAGTCCCTTCTAATATGCTGTGCCCTTCATCGGCTGTTGAGTATGGGCAGGGTTTATGGCTTCCTTTTTACTGTTGCATGCATAACTCATCTTGCATCCCTCTCCAGCCCCACATATACATACTCCCAAAGCATTTCTCCATCTTTATGTCTATGAATCCCTGCTCTTTTGTGTTCTGATCTGACTAAAGTACTTGACAGCACTGAGATTGTTACATTTCACCATTTCTGTCTCAAACCAGTTCATTATTTAGAAACCTAAACTTCACAATTCTTTCTAGGGGCCACATCCTGCTCCAGAAAGCTTGCTCCCCTTGCAAGCTCAGACTTGCTGGGTTTGCTGTGGCTTGCAGAGAATGAGTCACGAGAGGAAACAACCTCCCTTGGGGAGACTCCAGGTGGGAGTGACATATATGGTCCTGAATGTAAAGGGAAGGTGTTACTGCGAATGCAGAATCTGTACATGCACTGTTAATGTAAATGTGGATCTCTGCCTCCTACAATGCAGAGAAACTGGACTGGGATTTTGACTTAAACTTGTGACTAGCCTTAGGTGTAGGGTGCACAGGGCTTAGGGTGCAGCACTGGGTACACTGGAGCCAGAGGAGAGGTGCTTGCCACTGTCAAACAGGATGCAGTGCAGAGTCCCCTTGCTGGGGACTGCTGTCCCCTGCTGTCTTTGGTAATTGCCCTTAGCATAAATAAAATCAAACCTGTTTGCTATTAGGGAGGCTGAACTCTGCCTCTCCTAATTCACAGAAGGAAAAAGCCAAGAAAGAATGGCTAAAAGCACCTGACCTTGCACTTTTTGGTGACCTTTCAGCAAGGTTGTGCTGAAGAACTGCCTGCTCCTTCCCAGTCTCCCTGACATTTCCCAAATCCTGTACTAAGCATATTGAAGCTCCCAGGACATGCCACACTGCTTCAGCCCTATTTCAGCTGTCTTGGCATCAACGTGTGACACAGCGGAGGCACAGAACGCCCGGGGAGGGTTTCCACCAAGTACCTTTGAGAGGGATTGTACTGACCTGTGAGCAGCACACGATACTGGAAGACGCGCTGCACCACTGTCAGAAGCTGGTGTTTCACACTCTGAGGGCTGCCACCAGAGCTCTGCTGTCCTCAGTGGAAGGGAAAGGAAACACAAAGATCAGGGATGTGTGAGCTCGGCAGCAAACACTCGTCTTCACTGATGCATGCTATGGAAGTTTGCTACCAGTTGCATGCACAAATTCCATTGAACCATTCCCAGCTTGCTAGGGGGTACTTTCTTTGTGACTATAAAGAAGTACTCTAAACAGTTTATTTCCTATGATGGCATCATTCACAAATAGTTTGGATTCAGAGGGAAACAGGAGGAAAGCGAATACCATTACAAAGATAAAGGTGGGATAAAGATTTTAGGGTGGCATCTGAAGACAGAGGTATCAGATCTCAATGAAGCTCGTCATCGTTGTTCCGTTTTTGGACTGAAAATTTCTTCTGCCTGTGATTTTTTAGTATTTTATTTCAACACATGGAATTTAGCAAAAAAATTTAGCATCTTCCTGTGATTGAGTTGGAACTGAGTGTCCAGAGAGTGTTTACGAGAAAAATAAAGTGAGGTTGTGATCTGATTTAATGCACACATGGAAAAGAAGTCGCATTTTTCTCTTTACATTTACCCTCTAGATTCGACCCACTGCATGTTGCCGCATATCAGGCCCAGTCAGCATGGGTTTATGAAAGGCCCTTAGGGGTGTGCTTTAGTGGCAGTGTTGGGTTTACAGTTGGACTCGATAACCTTAAGGGTCTTTTCCAACCTAAATTATTTTATTCTATAAGGGCTCCATTAAAATAGGAACCTTGCTGTATATCTGTGAAGTGTCACAACATTGCTGCAAAAACAACAACAAGCCACAAAACCCAATCCACAAAAGTCTCCACATCTCCAGAGGCACCAAGAAACAGGAGTTGACAGGATCTGAGAGGAGTGGCACAAAACCCAGCTTGTTCCTTACAGGATCTGAGTCCAAAACCCAGTCGAGTTTCACCAGGTTTCAGTATTCATTGACCAACATTTCTGAAGTGTTTGCCAACTGTGAAGGGACAAAAGGAGAACAGGAATTTAACTGTTTAAAGGAATGCTGGCAAAAGAGCGTTTCCAAGGCAGTAGAGACATTTCATGTACTCCTCTAATTGGCTGACTGCTCTCACCAAATGTGCATTCAGGGTTGTGCTGAGCATTCTCAGTCCCAAGTACTCAAGTCGAAGGGGCCACAAACAAGATGAGGCCCTGAATTCTCTGTTGTTAGACTGGAAAACAAATAGTGGTCATGCTTTAAAAAAATGAAATAGGAAAGGACTGAGAGATACCTTCTCATTTGTGTGTGTGTGCGGGTGTGCAAGAGGGCAAGAAGTTACAGAGCTCACTGATTCCAGGGCAAAATCCTGCTGATCTCATCTTAGGAAAAGCCTCATCTTCTTTCTTAGAAATAAGAGCTAACTCAAGGCTGATAGTTAAGACAGACGTGCACAGGGATGTGGATGGGAGGGATGCTGGGAATACAGGCGCTCAGGAGAAAGCCTGCGTTTGCCAAGTCCACCTTCAGAGCAGTGTGAGCCATCGCAGCCCCCCTCAGCTGCTAACAGGAAATAATTGTGGTGACTGCAAGGTATCTGTAAATGCTGACTTCCAAATGTCTTTTGAAATGAATTATTATTCTTGACATTTCACATGTGCTGCAGAGAAAAACACAATCCATACCCTACAGAGCTAGCATTCTAAATAACCTTTAAGGTCCAGTCACTAATTTATCCTTACAGCCCCTCTGCCACCCAAGTAAAGATTGTTATTTCTCTCACAAGATAAACATAGCAAGAAACAGGTTCTAAACGCACAATAAAGCAGCATTAACCATTTTAGCTCAATAGAGTCAGTGTAGCTCAACTGAACTTTCCCATCCTCGTATGGGTTTGTTTTTGAAATTATGTGAAGTGACCACATTGCCAGTACTTTAAAATGTAATCAGGAATCATGGAATTTCTGTATCTTGATGGAGTTTTTCAGTTGTTCAGCACAGATGACTGAGATAACACAACTGGAAAATACCTGTTTCTTGCTACAGGGCCAGAGGTTACAGGCCTGGAGGTTACAGACCATGTGGGGAGTCTGGATAAAAAGAACCCTAATGTGTCAGGCCAGTGGAGTTTGTGTTTCCTGTGCGGTTCAGTGTTGCCTGTCACAACATCCTCTGTAAACAGAGGAAGCAGTTAACGGGCATTTAAGAATGCTGAGAAATGCAATTGTAAAGATGATGTGGGTTTATAGCCACCAGCAGCTAAGCACCTATGCAGGCTGACCCTAACTTCATCCTAGCCAGGCCTAGTACAAAAGAAAGGATGGAAAATGCAGTGAAAGAAGATACGAAGAGATGGTAATAATAACAATAACAACAACAACAACAAAAACAATAATAAAAACAACTCTAACACATCCTCAAAAAGTTAATAAACAAGTTAATAAGTGACTGAGCAACTACTTCACCATGTGCATACATTTCAGCAAAACACACTGACAGATCTGTAGATCACAAACATGCATTCTCTATGCACACACAGGGGTGTGTGAGCTACAGACCCAGACCCAGAGACAGAAACACATCATGCACATGTGAATATCTCACTTCAGTTTTAGGACCATGATGTGTGAGGAGAGCTCTTCTCCCATTCTACCCTGTGTGAACATTGGTAGAGTTGCAGAAAAAAGTATCTTTGTGGAACCCCTGTGGCACAACCATGCATCAGTGTGGGTACAAAAACATGGGAGCCTTACCTCAAACTCCTGAATCATGGTAGCCAGTTGGGAACATTTAAGGCAGGTTTCATCTAGCAAAGCCAAATTCCTATCAAACTGCATAATGTATGTTGTGTGGTGATTCAGCCCTGATTTTCTTGAGAGGAAAACATCAGCAACTTTCTGGTGTTCCTCCCTAAGGCCACAGAAACAAAAGCAACAGCAAATAAATTAAATAAAAATTAAAGAAGAAGAGCCGTACTTCTTTCTCATTGTATTATACCCACAGTGGCTGAGAACATTGTGCAGCTAAAGCCTAGGTTAAATGGCAGGAAAGAGGGAGTGCTTCACTGATGAACTGGGCAGGAAAACGGGCACCACGGGGGGCTGATCCTTTGGCTGGGCCTTTGCTGGGGCAGCACCATGTGTCCTCAGGGGGTGGAAAGTGTCCTTTCTGGACACAGCTTCTGCTTCTGGCTGCAAGTGGGTGTCCCTTATCCAGGCTACGCTGTTGCTGTGTGGATTTCTGTGAGCACATGATCTCTAGGATCGGTTCTGATGTCTGCTGTTCCTGCCTCCCGTGGCATGAGCCTGGGACCTTCGGGCAATGAGTGTGACACTGCTTGGTGACGACTGTGAGCTGGCATCACAGGATGATGCATATAAGCAGGCTGTCCCCACACTGACTGATGGGGCCATTTCGGAGTCATGGGCTGTGCACTGCGCAAATGTTTCAGTATTTGGTTTCTTAGCCTGACATTCACTTTATTTAGAATGTGCCAGCATAGTTCAGTCCTAGGCCTTCCCTCTCTGCTGCCATCCCAGCCTCCTGCTGGTGGGGTCAGCGGAATGCTGAGGAGTTCACCTGCCTGCAGTGCGGGTACGTTAAGGCCATCAAACCATGCTGTCACCTACTTACCATTTAAGGACTCTTTCTTCCAGTTCTGCCAGGATGTCTTGGTGTAATTCACAAATTTCAGGGATTTCACGTAAACCCTGCTTGAGGTTAACTTCTTCCTGTTCGTCGTCGTCATCTTCTCCAAGCACTTTCAAGAGACCTTCATAGAAATCCTGTGAACAACACAGAAATTAGGCAAACAGACTTAAATTATCTTTTCTGAAATTATCATTACAATTTCTTAACTCCTAAACTATGCTTTCTAGGAATTATAAGGTATGCCATCAGTAGTGATAATGTGCTCAGTATAGCAAGGAAATAATAGCGTATGTTTTCTTCCATCCATTAGTTCACATTTTCAGCTGAGTTCACAACGCTGTCAACCCAAAATTGAACATTTCACCTGACTAAGCCATCAGACCCTTATTCATACAATGAGTTTGGTATCTTTTTATTTACCTTGCCTTTTTTTTTCTTGCTTTTCTGGGTGTAGTTGTGGTCTCACTTTTATAGTGTTTCTTTACCAGAAACATAATCTTTTTAAAATGAAGGATGAGATTCTCCCATCATTTTATTGGATCCAACAGCTTGACATGAAAAATGTCAATGTCTACATGTTTTGAGCTAAAATTTTGCAACACTTGTCTCCAAATCTGAACTTGCAGAAGCTATAAACTTAAGCTATGGAAGAAATAATTTTCCCTACGAAAACCTAACTGAGGCCTTTTTTCCTCATCTTAGAAAGCGTTTTGATACGTGGGCACAGGAGTAATGTCCTCTGCATTAATATGTAGCCAGCTCTGGTACATAGCAGAGCACCTGTTTAAGAGTGCATAGCAGAATGTTTCCCCTGCTGGGACTTGGAAGTGAGGAACCATGCCTCCCTCTGAAACCATGGTGATAATTTGTATTAGATCCCCAGGCATTGGAAAATCATCCCAACAGCAGTCAGCAAATATCTTGTGTGCAAAACATTGCTTAAGTCTCCATCCCGAGCTCTGGATGCTGAAATGCCTTTGGGTCGAAGCCTGATTCCTACAGAATCCACCTTCTCTCCCTCAGGCCTGTGACAGAGTCGTTGCCGATACCCGGACACACTCGAGAGCCCTTGGCTCTTCCCAGGTCGCTGCCAGCACCGCCTTTCCCTGCCGGACACATCTCCGCAGGGACACGGCTGGGAGCGCAGACACCGGAGCTGCCAGGGCCCTGTGGGGTCTGGACTCGACCCGCGGGTGAGGCGGGCGCAGTGCAGCCGGGGGAGCTGGGGCGGTGCAGGGGCCGTGCAGGGGCGGCGCTGCTGCCCAGCGTGGGGCAGGGCCCAGCCCGGGGATCCCGGCTGCCTCTGCACCGTAACTGGACGTTTATAACTGGACGTTATCTTCAGAGCAGAATCCGGTGTTCAAAGGCAGCAGCCTTCATTCAGTAACATTAAAAGGCTGTGATTTCAGCACCTGCTTCTTCAGTATTACTACGAAGTACACGTGGTGGAAAAGCATTAGCATGGTATTCAGTGATTGCTTGAGGATGATCCTACAACACTGTACAGGTTTAATTCTCCTCTCTGTTCCCTGTATGGATGAGTCTGTGTGTTCCTCCATCAGAGTCAGGTTGGGCTCTTACTGTTACATTTCCCATTTCTGCTATTCAGGTCTTGATGGGCAAAGTATCAGAGTCTCAGTTTTTCCATGAAAATATGTGAACAACTAGAAACCTAAGTGCATCCCAGTTTGTGATAAGAGCAGAAACTGGGCTTCCATATAAAACTGCTTGGAAACTAATTCTGTGATTGCTGAGGAAAAAAGGGATGAGAGTGAAAACCAGAATAAATAATCAAAACAACAGCTCAGAGAGCAGCCACATTATATGTGAGGTTTGGAAGCTCCCGATGACTCGTTTTGGTGTAGCAGCTGCAGACTGGGAGATTGCAAAGCTTCCTTCCTTATAAAAATACTATCTGTCCTTACCTGACCTTCCTTTCGCTTTCGTGTGTGAAGGTAAGGCTGGGGATTGCAGCATTCTCTTTTACTGCTAGCCAGCCTGCACGTGCTGGTTTTCTCTAGTAAGTACCTCAAATTAGGTATTGTTTTAAAATTCAGCATTAAAAATACTTGAATGGAGGCTTTGTAGCTGAATGTAATTAGATTCACTGACTTTGACGCCAGGAGGGACCATATTGATAGGATATGATCTAGTGTGGTCTGGTCAGCAGTCCAGACCACAAGAGTTACTCAAATATAGCATTACTAGGAAAACAACCAATACTGATTTACGACAGAATCTGCCACACGGTATGGATACACTAACACTTCATCCTGAGAAAAAAACCCCAAGTCACAAAAGGGTCTTCTGGTAGTCTCATAAGGTAGCTCACAACCATGTGCAAAGCCCAGGCATCCCATCACAGCAGAGCTGGTGTTAGAGTCCTGGCTGCATCCTGTCAGACTAAGGCCACCGCACCGGGAGTTGTTCTTCAGCAGGTTTGCACTCAGCTCTGCTTCAGCCCAAAATTTAGCGTGAAGGAAAGCTTTAGTGTCTGACCCGACTGGCAGATCCATGCTGGGAATGTATTTTTCACACGCTACTCTGCAAACAGCGAGTTATTATTAAAACCAATGTTTATTCAAAGAAATATTAAAAACATTCTTTGTCTGCCCATAGAAGCCAATTCATCACAAAAAAAGGCAGCTGCTTTAACAATCGCTGAGAAGGTGATTCTGCTGGATGAGTTAATAGAAAAGGCAGCTAGATTTTTCCACTGAGAGACCATTTCCTGGCCTCCTACCTCTCTGTATGTGATGTGGCCAAATGTGCTGTGAAAGGAAGCAGGGGCTTGATAAAAAGAAACCTCTGAGGTTGCAGAGCTCATTGAAAGATGCCAAGTTGTTTCTAACCGGCCCTAAACCAGGATGGGATAGGTCAAGTGTCTTCCTCTGTCAGGATCTAGTGATGATGAAACCTATTGCCAAAGAGTCAAATTCTGTCCCCTGAACTTTTGGGGACAATCTTACTGAACTTCCCTGGGCTGCACTGGGATTTGCCATGGCATTTCTCATAACTCTGGCTTCTGTCTGGGTAAGTTTTATAAGTGTATGGAGTAATTAAGGAGGAGTCTGAAAGAACTGATTTCCTTGGAACTTGCTAATGTCCAGTTACGAGCAACTCAAGTGAGCATGTTTCACTGGGGATCCATATTTTAGATTAGATAATCCACTTTAGTCTGATTAAATCAAGGTAGCTGTCCTGATTTCAGCATGCTGGGGATCTGGCTGCTTTGACTGTGGTCCTGCTTCTGTACGGAGCAGGAGGGTCTCTGGGCAAAGAAATTCAAAATTCCTCTCTCCTCACCAGTAGGAACTGACTCCAGGCAAGAGCAGGTTTTAGTCTCCTCAGATTCATTCCTGGCTTTTCTGTCGAAACGCTGTCAAGTGCAAAGTACGCGGGCTCACTGTGAACTGGGATGACTGGAATAGCTAACAGATGCTAGCCAAAAGGAGAGTCGCACATACACCGTGGGTTTTAGCAACTATGACAGATGAAGCATTTGTTCTCTGAAAAGCCACTGGAACTAGGTAAAAAAAAAAATCGATAATTTTATTTTTTACTAACTATATCCTGGATAAAACAAAATAATAAAAATTTCTGAAAGAGTATTATTGCATTTCCTAACTACCTGGGTCTGATTTCCACATGTCCTGCTCCAGTGCCACAAATAATCCCAATGTTGTGCTATTCCAGCTCCCCTTTTTTCTGGTGTGTAAGTGAGCCTACCTAACTACATATTTCAGCCAGTGTACACTGCAGAGGCTTTCCAACCAACTCAGCCAGTCAATCTGTCTTCTGGATGCTTTTCCTAACTCAGAGGAATCTGCAGCCTTTCAAAGTCCTCAGTCATCGTAATTAATCCAGACTGGGGAAAGAGGAAGAATCCAAAGAGCTCTTTCAGCTCATTGTGCCTGGGGAAGTGAATTGCTGTCATAAGTTCGCTACTGATGTGCTAAAGTAACCAATTCTGTCATAGAAATGTCATCTTTTCCAAATTACCATTGAACAGCTCTGTATCTGTCCACTTTCCACCACAGCTGAGCAACAAGATTAACACTCCTTTCCCACAGCAACTCAGTGGATTTAATTAGTCATTAATTGCCAGCCCCTTTGATTATAATGGATTCTCGGACAAATTATGTAATTCCAGTTGCCTAGATAGCCAGCTTCATAATGATAATAAAAAACCTGCAGCATAACAGTAATAATTGTAAACATCCACTGAAAAATAATTGTGTCACTGTTGAAAATGCTGAGTGCCTGAGAAGCCATTAATCGAATGCAAAGTGCTTTGGTAGTCTCATTAACTCTAACCAGTCATAGCACCTGAAGGTCTCTAAGGGCCCATGTCTACACACAGGAGGTACCCAACACGAGACCATGTAATTCCCTGCTGTATCAAATCCTCCTTAGAATGGGAGTGCGGACTGCAGTTGTTCAGCCCAAGGCTGAGCTCAGTCTCATCTGGGGGTACGGGAGCCTGCAGACCTCACTCCAGTCGTGTGCCTGTACCTGCACCAGGGCTTGTATGTGCATAGGAAAGCATAACCCAGGCTGGCTAGGTGACATAAAACACTAGCAACTGTGCTACAAAAATGCATTTTCGAAACATAAAACTTTTCATTACATTTTGGGCACCCATAAATAAGCCCGTTACAGCCATCCAATGGCCAAATCCCTAACATCCCTGAAATAAACCCTACAAATAAAGAAGTGAAGCAAAGAGGATCAAAACCTGCAGCCACAAAGGTTGGTTGGTTTTGGGTTTTCCTCCTTTCCTTTGTGCACATCACTAACACACACAAGTTTCATATTTATCCCCAAGAATGCCTCTGAAGAATTCCTGTCCTCCACTGGAAATGGGGACCATAGCCCAGAGCCTGTTATAAGAGCATGGGACAAGGAGGAATGCGGGATTGGTTTAAACAAGGTCTGATGGTTTATGCAGAGCACTGCCCAACTGGCGCATGCTTGGCTCTTGGAGCAGAACCTGATACCTTCTGCGAGGTGATGGGGCTCACGGTTGGGTGCTGGGATATGAAATGCTTTAGAGATGCTGGCAAGGCCTGCCAATGCTTAGAGGAAACACTGGTTACAGGAGAGTTTTTTGGGGAAAAAAAAAAGATTGAGG